GTTTTCAACTGCGGCTGGCCGGATAGCTCTGCAATTTAGGTATCGGTTGGGAGTTCGAATTCCCACAACGCGCCTTCCGAGAAAAGAGCCAGCCTGCGTGGCCTTGGGTAAACTGCACAATCCCCGGGCACCGTGAGAGGAAGGGAACGATCAACCACTTCTGAATATTATTAGCTGGAAAAGTGCGTCGTTCGGTGGCGGTCCCTCTGAAGCGCTTCATGCTGCAACACTCCGTTGCCGTACCCACTGGCTGAAAGGGCAGGGGGGGCATTTTTGAGAAAGATAAAAGAGGCAATCAAAACACAAGATTTTTCACATCTTGCTTCGGTATCATCGAAAGCAGGCCGGGCTAAGATGGAGAGAGCGAAGGCCACATTCTTTCATGACAGAAAACAGAAACGCCTTCAAGCAAAACTCTCTTCTCTTGAATAAGTTTGCCGTGAACTTTTCCGAGAGCAAACTAAAAATATGTCTAAGCTTCTTTGTTCTTTTCCCCCCCTGATCTGGATTACTGTATGTCGTAAAGACTCTACACCACAGGCTTAAATGTCCGAGGGTAGCCGCTTTGCAAAGAAATAACCAATACTGAGTTTTAGTTGGAACTTTGCAGGAGACCCACACACACCTCCAAGCTGCTTGGCCATGTCTCCACCCTCCACCGGCTCAGTACGTTGGCTAGTTTTTGTGACTAACAGCCAAGCTGCCTCCCCTTATGGTGCCGAAAAATCTGCACCAGAGTTGATGCACAGCAGTTTAAAGCAATAGATTTCAAAAAGCAACAACATACAGCGTAAAATACATAATATTCTCCATTTGGTGTATGTGCCGATAATTGAAAATAAATCATCAGTGACTCTTGGTTTAAAAAATGTTGAAGAACTTTTACTGTAGAACATGTAGAATAGAATAAACAGTGTTTTGACACTGGATACTGTATACACCAAATTGTGCTTAATTTACGGTATATTGGTATGTTATCTTTAAACTTGACAAACATAGTTAATCCTTCTTCTATATTGTTGTACAACACAGCCTCTCTCACATACACACACATACACACATATAGCCCCTACCATCTCAGAAACAAGTTTGATCCTGCACATCATCAATGGCGATACACATGGAATGAAAGTATGTACGTTGTCAATGGCCAGCCCCGGCGTTATTTGCCGAATGGAACCAGATGGCGGTTGGTTTCCTGGGTAC